AGGCTGTTGCTCCATCACTCAGCTGTTTGCTTTGGGAGATGTGCTTGCTCCATCTGCTTTAGACATCTAAGGTGCAATCCCTGGGGGATTCTGGAGATCCTCCTTGGACATGCTAGATCTAGGCTAGATGTCTCTCTGAAGATAAGGGATCAGGCTGGACCATTTGAGACATAGCCTGGGTCTCATCCTCAGGCTATTTACACCTAAATGGATGAAACAGTCAGACAGTGAGGACAAAGACTGAGCAGCAGGGTGGGAGCCAGGACCAGTGCCTGGAGCTGCTGTTTTAGGCTGTCCCCAGAGGAGGTGAGCGAGGCAGAAGAACAGCCAAGGTGCTCACAGCAACCATCCACAACCTTGGGGAAGGACTACCTACCCAACCAAGCACATCTGATTCAGTAATTACACTTGCAGTTTGCTGCTTTCATGCTTTAAAGTGCTTGCTCATATAAATTCCAATGATATTTTCCCCTTACTATGCTTCACCCTCTCTGCCCTGTTTTCCCATCACTCTCAAAAGCCCTAAGCCCATGACACTTTTTTCTATTTATTTGAAGGATGAAGAGTGCGTGTCTTTAGCATTGTTAAACCACTATTACTTAGAGTTTTCGTGAAGAGATTAAGCACCTTTTTGAAATTTGATCTAAATCAAATTGTTCCACAGCAACCAAAACCCTCGGGGCATCCAAAGCAAAAATCACAGGGAAATCACCTATGGTCTGTCTCATTATCAGGATCCTTGTAACGGTTCCATCATTTCTGAAGCAAATGCTAGGTCCGATTGCACTTCTTGCCACTGTCAGATCCATTCTTTACCTGCTTTGAAATATATGTATGTATACACCCATATCTATCTATCTATCTATCTATATATATATATCTATCTATCTCATGCAGCATTAGGGAGAGTGTGTTGAGCTGGCAAGAGTTACCAGTAGACCAACCACACAGCCTTGTTCAGCAGCATATCAGCTGCCACCTCATTATTTATAGCCACCCCGCTCTTTGAGCTTGTTTATTTTCCTTCCCTAAGGTGGTGGTGGCAGGAGGGGAAGCTCTGACATTCAGACCCAGGTGTCTCCGAGCCTGACCTTTCCTTCAAAGATCAGAAACTGCAGACGCATTTCAAGGAAGAAAGTAATTTGGAGAATCTAGACTCTTGCGTCCACCACCTCGCTGGAGGCCCAGTGCAGAGCTGCAAACAAAGCTTGAGCAGAGATCCGTTAATTAGCCAGTACATATACATAAGAATGGTCATAAAAATGAACCTATAATTATTTTATACCTGGAAAGAGAACCAGATGAAGTCTAGCCCCCAGTCTTGAGGCAGAACAAGTGCTATATAAAGACATAACATTCAAAACAGACTTGAGTTTTCCATCAGCTAACCTTTCCCCAAGTTTAAACAACACTGGTTTATGGCCTGCAAGAAACAGGCATTGCAATGGTCGTGGACCTTATTTTTCAATTCTGTCTCACATATGCTCACGTAGAATCATCTGTTAAACCTTGTTGGAAGAAAACCAGCACTGAAGCCTGCTACAGGACAAACAGCACATTTCAGTATTACTGTAGCCCCCACAGATTTATTAAGAGTGGATACTGTACAAAAGGACATTCCCCTTCTGCATAATCTAAACAGACAGGATGGGGAAAGAAGAAAATTGGAGAGAAGCACCACCTTGAGGTGTGCCTCAAGGTCAGAGCACTGAGAGCCCACGTAGGGGTTCCAGCCCCTCTCTTTGGGCACCATCGACCTGCAAAGAGGATGGTAATTTGGGATAGCCTGGCAGCACAGGGAACACGGGCAGCCAACAGATACAGGGACCAGGAAAGCATTGCTCTTCTCCACCAGGCTTTGAGGGTAAACTTAATCCTGCAAGAAAGTCTCTCTTGGTGCCTCAGTTTGTCCTTATTATGCTCAAAATGCAACAGTCCCAGGAAAAGACAGAGCTATGGTCTTACAATGAAAGCCTGAGAGATACCAATGCTGCAAAAAATACAATATTGCAAAAAATGAATGTAGGAAAGATGGAGCAGTCAGCTGCTGAATGAAATCAGACCGGTAACTGCTACAGAGAGGCACAGCCTGCTCTCCTTTACTCACGGAAGCAGGATGAGTCCCCAGGAGCACTCTTCACATCCCTAGGAGAGCAGAGGTCCCAGTGACACACAGAGATGCACAGGAAAGCTGGAAGCAGGCTGCTTTGCAAAGGTTGCAGCATAACTTCACCACCACACGCAGTGGTTTCTCCACAGCAAATTCACCTGCAGAAGCTTTTCATTTTAGTGAGACGTGAGCAGAAGCACTTCACAGATGCCTCATTTTCTTCTGAAGTGAGCAACAAAATCAGCCACAATGCCCTGTGCTTGCTGCTGAGGGGAGAAATGAGCCTTCATCCCCTCTTAGCATTCCCCAAGATGCACATCCAGAGCACCCGGGCTGCAGCATCCCTTTTTTGGGGGGGGATGGGAGGGGTGGTTCACCATTCTGGTAACCCCACTGCCCCTCCCACCACCATGTGTGCACCACGCTACTTTGGGAGGAGAAACAGCATGTCATAAAGTTAATTTAATTGTGGAAAAATTTCCCCCGGCAGGTATAGGTACCTCATAAAGAGCTATATGCATCTGCTCTATGCCAGGTCTTTTCCCTGGTTCCTCACCACCACCAGTGCACTCTGGTCTCACCAGTTTCCATGTAACCTGCTCACTTCTGTGCTGTGACCAGAACCTGAATTACAGCAGTTGTTTCTGTTGAAACCACATCTACGTCCACGTAGGCTTTAACTGGGGACAATATGCCCTGCAAATTAACCCTCCTTAGAGAAGGAATCTCACACAAGCAGCCTTTGTGGCCTTTTCTGCACTCTCCATGCTGGCCGGGCACAGGAATAGTAACAGGAGTTTGCGGCCATCCTCTCCACCAGCCAACTGCAGAACAGAGTTGAAACAAATTGGTGCAACCAGTTTGCATGCATGCAAGGGCACAATACCGCTGCTTTCTCCTCACGCCAGGACATCTCTATACACCCCTTGCTACTGCTCTGGCCTTGCTTGAAAATCCCACCATGGCAGAGGAAGGGCTGAAGGGAGGAAGATGGGGCCAGATGGTGTCCATGCTCCCCAGTGCTCTCTAAGGAACACCAACTCCTTGAATTCCTACCTCCAGGAGGAGCTGAAGCAGAGGATGGAGAGGACTAGGGTACCAATAAGCAGAAAAATGACAGCTACAAGCAATATCTGATTAACTTTCCTCTTCCTAATACTTTAAGAAAGCATAGGTAAGGAAAGCACAAACTATTTGTTGTCTCTACACCACAGAAGTGTTATTACTCAGAAGGTCAGCTCCATAAAAAAAGGTTTTTCATTAGATGGTTCCAGATAGGGTAGTCAGCTCATTAGAATGCTAGGTTCCTGTACAGACAGGTATATTGGTCTCATCTAAGCTTTATAAGCAGGCTGTAGAGGATTTTTTTTTTTTTAGCTGACATCACCAGTCATTTTTATTGAAGCTTGTGATGTTGCTGAGATCTATCAGCTGGGGACCTAAGCTCTGTGCTTCTCCTAGCTGATCACTTCATGCAAATTCTTCCGCGTGCTGCTCCATCTCTCGCCCAAACACCGCTCATTCCCATTTTACAGTCAATTACCCCCAATAACAATGAAGAATGCAGTGAGATGACAAGGATCTTCTAAATGGGGCAGGCACACAGAAAGCCCTTTTCTTGCATACATCAAGCTCCTTTTCTTCTTGTCACTCAGCCTGATGCTTCTTCTCCTTCACTTCCTGCTCAAGTAGAGAGTTGCAAGGTCTTGGAAAACAGCTTTGCTGCAGGAACTCCTACATCAACAAAATCCTCAGAGTTGCCATTGTTACAACATCTTCCTCAAATTTTATTAAATGCTTACAAAAAAAAAATCCAGGCTGCAGTAAATTTAAGCAGAAAGCACACTGATGAAGGAGGAGAGAGAAGCTGCCCTCCCCTCCAGGAGGGCAGAAACAAATCGCAAAATTATGTTGACAGGGGAAGAGGGTAGGAATAAGACTTTTTAGGAGGGGATAGGGGACATGCTAACACCATGAAGTATGAAGGCGTGGGAGAGCTCAGAAACAGCCCTGGGAGCTGATTTACAGACCTCAGGCCCAAGGCCAGAGTGCCACTCTTTAGGGACTCAGTTTCCCCATGTTCACAGCAAGCCCTGACCTCCCCAAAAAACTCACTAGGATGCCCTTTCACCATGCAGCTTCCAGCATAAGAGCAGCAGCCGTTTCTCAGATATCCTGTCCACCTCCAGGAATGTAGCAGGCAGGTTATCAACATACCCACCACATCTGACATTCAGAAGTGTTTCAATCACTGGCACTGGAGCCCACAGGTTAGAGAACAAGCAAATCCCTTTCCCAGAGAAGGGAGATAATACTAGTGGTCAGCACTCCTCATCTGGGAAAGGAGACCTCCAATCCATGTTAGGGAGAGGAAGGCAGCAGCTACTTGAAACAAAGCTGCTATTGCCACTGTTGAGACAGAAAAGTGGCAGGAACATTTTGGCATGGGTATGTAACTGTGATTAGAGGATGATCTGGGAACTAAAGAAAAAAACAGGACTAAGTTGAATGTGATTTGATGTACACAGAGACAAGTAGATGGAAGTCCCTCAAAGCAGATAATGTAGAGGGTCAGAGGCTGCACTGTAAACAGGGGAAGAGTTTACCCACAGCTGGCACCAAGAGGGTGACAAGTGGTCCTTGCAGTCTCCGCCCATTGCCCTCCTTTCAAACACTGATTCTTTTACCGGGTTTCTTCTGAGCTCCCTTTCTCTCACCACCCAGCCACCAAGAGCCACAAAAGCAGAAATTCTTCATCACATAGCAAAAGCCCTGCCAGCTCAGCAGGGCAGCAGATCCCCCTCTTCCAACACTTGAGAAAGAAGAGAGGGAGTAGAGGGAACAGAACCACAGCCTCCCATCTCCATAGCAGAGCCAGATTTAAAAAAAAAAAAGTGCCAGAGAGTCACATAGAAAGTTAAAACAGGGACAGTTTTGCCAGCTGATCTAGTTCCTTTCATCCAACTGGAGGCAGCATGGGGTATTGCTTACACCCCGAGAGGAGTCAGGCTGTACCAAAGCACACTGACATCAGGCAGGAGAAGAGAAACATCCTTCAATTGTCTTCTGTGGAGCAGAGGAAATAGTGGCATTGAGGGTTGCATCAAGCCAGGACCAAGCTCAGCTGCAAGACAAGAAAACAAGAAGTTTATGCATACCATTTGGCCTGCCACGAGCAATACCCTAGGCTGTACAGAGGCTGCATCTTGTCTAGCAATTACAGGTAGTTCTCTCCCACCCATTTCTACAAAGCCCTGTGAATCAGCCCATAAAGCTTCAGCGCTGCAGGACAGTCAACCCTGCTACGTGCCCGTGGCAGAGTAGATGCCAAGGGCTGCATGCCCGGCAGAGGTCACAGCTGCCCAGGCAGAGGGAAGGATGTGCTACTGCCCAGCCATCTCCTGAGAAGGAGGAGATTAGCAGGTTTCCTTCCAAGCCTGAGAAAGCCACTGAAGCAGAGAGCACGTTCCTACAGCCCCCGACAGCCGCAGCTCTCTACTTGGGACCATCTGCAGCCGTATCGGGTTCCTGCAGCTCTCTATCTGCTCCGTGTGCGACAGCTGGTGCAGCTGAGGGACTCCCGCACACAAATGACTTTTCCATCGCATGATAAATGACTCCTCCATGCTGACACTCTCCCAGTTTGGGGTTGCCTGCAGATGGAGCAGAGTTCGGGAGAACAGTTGGGGTCCAAGAGTGGGTGACCTCCCCTCCACCCACAAGCACTCAACCAGCAGCAGGGAAATCTAACCTTTTGAAAGCCTCTTGACTCAGGTTCTAGCTCCATTTCCTTCCAACTTAGCACAAACCCACCCAAGTTTCTCAGGCAGTATTTTCCCCATTGTCCCTGGGTTTTCAGCTCTGGCCTTTCCGCTGGCAATAAAGCAAGTCCATCTGTCCCTTTGCTTTTGCTTCATTACACAGCAAGGGGGGGAAGACGATCACAAATCTTGCTTGTTGCAGAATTTCTCCTGAGAACACAAAGCTCTGAAGGAGAGTCATCAAAGCCAAGCATGACAGGGAAGGCAAATAAATTAACAGCCGATTTCCTTTTGCTGTCTCTTAGCATCTCTCTGCCTCACTAGTCAAATACACAGACTCCGTCACAGTCAGATGCCATGGAAGTTACCACTCATGTCTCCAAGACCCACAGCACAGCAGGTTTCAAGTCAGTTGGGGTGCTGAGAGAGTAGCGAGAGTGATTTTAAGAGCACAGACTATTGTAAGAGACCACAAATCTTGAGATTATAGGGCACAAAGCAGCCTCTTTCTTTGGGAACAGAGGGAAAGTTTTCCCCATACATGCAGATTATATCTAAACTTCCCACTCCAAGAACCCCCATGCCCTCCTCGGTACCATCTGGCAGTTCACAGCAAATCCCAGACAAGATTCTGCTCTGACCCATGTCAGAAGCTGCATCTTTCTGGGGTGCAGCAGTCTGTAGGACAAGGAAAACACTCAAAGAGCTGATCAGTAGTTGGGAAGTTCACTGCCCTGCCTCTTTAGTATTCCCAACACAAGCTTGAAGCAGGTCAACCTTATAATTTTGCTTTACCAGTGCTGCTAGACCACAGCTCATCCTGTAGTAGAGGCTGTCCGTGGGAAGACATTGAACAGAAGCAGATGAAATCATTCCACAATCAATCCTAACATCAGATGTGTGTACTAGCTCACCTTGCAGATGACAAAAATCACACAAGCAACTACCGATTCCTATACAAACAGAAGCAGAGTAGTGTTGCACAAAAGCAAGTATGCATCTCTCCAACTGAGGCATTTTGGCTTTCTGACCCAGAAGAATCTAGAATATCCACAAGGCTGGGGAGGAGAGCAGGTATATGATGAAGGAATGGGGCTCTCAGCCTTTTTTCAGGCCAGTGCAGACTTATTTCTAAGAGTAGCATTTGAAACAGAGTAACTTCTAATCCCAGCCTTATGCCTAAAGCATGAGGCTGATAAGCCATTGGGAATGCCCAACAGTTGTCACCCCCAGCTGGCACAAATCCCCTCCAAGCCCCCTCGCCAAAACAGCAGGAGGTTTCTCATGTCTGCAGCTGAAATAAATCATAGAATAGTTTGGGTTGGAAGGGACCTTTAAAGGTCATCTAGTCCAGCCCCCCCACACCCCTCCCCGCAATGAGCAGGGACATCTTCAACTAGATCAGGTTGCTGCTCAGACCCCCAATCCAACCTGACCTTGAATGTTTCCAGGGATGGGACATCTACCACCTCTCTGGGCAACCTCCTTCAGTGTTTCACCACCCTCATCATAAAAAATTTCTTCTTTATCTCTAGTCTGAATCTACCCTCTTTTAGTTTAAAACCATTACCCCTTGTCCTGTTGCTACAGGCCCTGCTAAAAAGTCTGTCCCCATCTTTCTTATAAACTCCCTTTAAGTACTGAAAGGCCACAATAAGGTCTCCCCGGAGCCTTCTCTTCTTCAGGCTGAACAACCCCAACCCTCTCAGCCTTTCCTCACAGGAGACGTGTTCCAGCCCTCTGATCATTTTTGTGACCCTCCTCTGGACCCGCTCCAACAGGTCCGTGTCGTTCCTGTACTGAGGAAATCAGTTGGTAGTAGTGCACCACTTACTAGACACTGCCCAGGCCCTGCCCACCACAGCCTCTGTTCTGGAGGACAGCTCATCTACCATGGGGAGGGCTTGACCTTGAAGACTTTATGCCCTACGTGCCACCTCTTCAGTGCTTTCATTTGCTGCTGCATTTTTTTTAATTATTTTTTTTCTTTAAAGAAGAGTCATCCTTCTTCCCCCCATCCACAACCAGTTTTGGCAGATACACCACCTGCTTGCTCGGTACAGATCAACTTCTCAGCCCAGCGCTGACAGCAGCACTGCAAGCCTAAAGGCAACACCAGGCACTCAAGCACAAATAGCCGTTCTGTGCTTTTGAGAGTTTTATTCGGGATAGTTTTCCCACACGGTAGGTATCATGCTACACACCCACACTAACCAGAGCCAGTTGGAGAGCCACCAAGAACCAAGCAGAGCACATGCAATAGCCCCTCTGGGCAACCCTGACATCAGCCCACCACCTCTTCCTTGTTTCAGGATGTTCAGTTGCATCCAGCACTGGGGATTAAGGGGCTCAGTGATTTATGCCTCCTTTCATAGCAAAACTCAGCAACTCTGTGCTGAGAGGCAGGGTTGAGTCAGATTTCTTTCTGGGGGCTGCCAAGAGTCATTGCAGGTCAGAGGCTGAGTTTTTGGTGTTCCCCAGCCTTGCTCAGGAAGAGAAAGAAGAGAACTGAGATTAGTTTTATCTTTCTATCCCCAACACAGACCCTTAGCTCCACTGTGCAGGAAATCTGACTGGTGCTCACCAAAAAGAAGAGGAGATGGCGGTGAGTTAGTGAAAGAGAGCAGGGAAAAGAGCCATGCATCCCCCCAGGAGCAGCACTGTTGGCCAAAGGGGGGTCCAGCTGCAATTGCCAGTGGGGATAAGACCTGACCCAGAACACAACCTATTTCTGTTTCACTGAAGAATCAGTGATACAGGCAGGACAGTGGCAATGCTCCCAAGGGAAAGAGAAAACTTGGTTTCATCTTGAGTGCAGGAGAAGGTGGCCACTATACTTGACACAGCAAGGAAAGACCAGTTAGAGTTAGCATTGTGACAAAGCACTTTCTCACCAGATAAACACAGCTTTTTTGAGGTCCTGCATTTCACAGGGATGTCTTTCTGCCAGCTGAAATCAATCAAGGCCAGTGTTGACTTTGACTCAAATGACACATGTAGTTTATGGCTGTTCTGTTGTACATAACATTGTATCAGAGTATTAATAACTGGAATTTGGAAAGCTATGAAACATGCCTGATTTGTGCCTCTGGAGAATGTTTCAAAGCTTCAGAATTTCAGAACCGCTCTGTTTCTCTTGACATTTCCTTCCAAATCCCTTTAGGACTTGCCAAGACACGAACGTCTGTGGTCCCAAGGAGCTCTCACTGGGTTTTGCGCTATTGCCAGGAGCAGGAGGGCTCCAGGTTTGGCAATACAGCTTCCCCCAGTACATCTCTTGCCCTGCCACACCACCCTCAAGACTGGCTGAGACTACTTGAGAGACTAAGGAAACCAAGACCAATGCTCTTCTCCTACAATACTGACTCCATACTCATAGCTTTTGGAGAGAGGAAGAGGCTGCCTTATGTATGACTATTTCAGAGTCTAGTCCAGGGCTAAGCCCACACCAACTCTAAGCTTTGTGTTTTCTTCCAGGAGATGACAATGCTGATAACGGTATCATCCTCCGTCCAGCCTACTCCCATCCACCACCACCCTTCTCCCCCTCCCACTCTACCAAAGCCTGGGAAGGACAACCTGCGGCTGCAGCGGCTGCTGAAGAAGGCAGCCAAGAAGAATGCCATCCTAGCTTCGGAGCAAGCCAAGTCCTTTCGGTCCAGCCTCTCACCCGTGAATGAGGCCAGCCCTGACCTAGAGCACAATGAGAGCACTCCCCCAGCAGAGACCCCCGAAACCACAGCAGCCACCTCCGCCAGCCTCCCAACCCGCCTCTCCATCAAGCCCATCACCCACTGCATCTCCTCCCCCTTCCGAAAGAGCAAGCCTTTCACACTGAAGGTCACTGAGCAGAGGCGCATTGCCGAACACCTCATGCTCACGACCTCCCCGGCCGTGCCCCTGCTACACAAGCCAGGAGCTCCCAAGACTCCACAGCAGCCTGAAGGCACAGACACCCACCTCCCCTCTCCACAGGACCCTTCAATATCTGTTTTCCCCCAGCTGCCTCCTTCCAGTACACCCAGTAAAGAAAGGGCACCAGAGGTTACCTATGTCACCAAGGTGCATGCTTATTTCCACAGTGTCAAGCCACCCAGGGCTAAGACATCCACATCTAATCAGACCGAAGAAACTGTCAGCCATGAAGACAAAAGGCCTTCTTCTCCAGCACCTGAAACAAGGTACTCTGAACCACCTCCAGGGCAGATACCCACCCTGCTCGATGACAGCAAGGCCATGGCTCCTGCACTGGAGCCTCCCCTCCTTTCTGCTGCAGAGGCAGAGCCTCCTAATGAAGCTCCCAGGCCTGCTCCTACTGAAGAGTCCATCAAGGCCCCTTCACCCAAGCCCAGCCCCGCCGATGCCCACACTGATCAGCCTATGACCCATGGAAGCGACACCGAAATATCTGGATCAGAGATAGCTCCTGAATTACCCAAGCAAGATGGCGACATCCCAAAATCATTGACGCCCAGCACTCCCTGGAGGCAAGCACACCCAGCAACAGCAACCCCAGCACAAGCTGACAGTACTGTGGCCACCTCCACAGACACCGAGGCAGAATGTATCATTCAACCTCAGTTGACCCCCAGCTTACCAAACACCAGCCCTCCCCTCAAAGCTGAGCCAGCACTATCACCTGCAGAAGAAGCAAGACCACCTGGAGCCAATGCCAGTGGCTGGCATCGCCTCAGGAAGCAGCTGATGGTGCAGCCAGAAGCACCCGACTTCCCAGAGCCCGAGCCGGAAAAGCTGGGACAGGAGGAAGGGAACAAGGAGAAGGACAGCTCTCAACCAACTGGTCAAGAGTGCGGGCTGTTTAAATCAAGGGCCACAAGGATGTGGGATGCTATTTTATACCAGATGTCAGTCAACAAGGAGAGGAAGCAGCAAGCAGAAGAGAAGAAGCTGCAGAAGGAAGAAAGAAACTTTCTTCCCCGCCGTTTACCCATCCTTCTACATAAGCCACGCTTCGATGCCCGGAAACTGAAGGAACTGGCTGCCAAACCCATGACAAAGATTACCACTGTCTTTGAGGTGAGCCGGTTTAGACCCAAAGCGGCTGAGGAGCACAGCAAGAGCTTTAACAGAATGGCATCAGGATGGTCAGTCAACTGAAGCCAGACTGCTCCACAGGCCCAAATCTCTGGAGGTTCCTACAGGGCACCAAGCAAGAAAGCACCTATGACTAGGTTTACTGCCCAACAGAGCCAAGTGTAAGGAAAAAATAAAATTAAATCCCTCCAAGCCAGCAGCCTCATGCTGTGGGTTTAAGGGTTACTCTCCATATGTATATAAGCTTAAAAGCATAACATACTGCATCCACAGGTCATGAGCCAGGAAGACAAACATGCACTTGTTTTAAGAGCCAACAACAAGTACTGTGTGCAGTAACATGGGGAAGAGTGGGGAGGCACACAGTGAAGAGGACAAATTGCCTGTAGAAGCAGCCCAGTTTAGAGGATGGTGAAATCTGAGTTTATTTTGTTGTGTTTAAGACCAAAATAAATCCTAGAAACAGAAGCAATTGCAGCTGAGGCAACATGAAGGAATCTGGGTTGCTCCACATCTCCTCTAGGGAGTTTTAGAAACTGAAGTCAAAGAGGGTACACATCACCTCTTTAGCTTCTCCACCAAAAGTGCACCCCACACCCATTCACTGAGAACAAGGTGGAAATTCATCCTTTCACCCAAAGCACAGACAAGGGACAGCATAAAATATCCATCCTGCTCTCACACAGCAGTTCCCCTGCCTAAAAAAATGGGCATCATCACTTGATGTCCTCTTAGGACAGTCTACTAAATCATAGCACACAGAAGACTAACTTTGTTGCAGTAATCAGGTTCTGTTAGGTATTTTACCATGCTTTTTTAAGTACAGCTGGGGACTGGTGTTTTCATGATAACCAACAAGAGCCTGCTTCAGCATGTGGGTATCCAACTCTGTGTATTTAACAAGGTGCTGTTTTCCAGGAGGGTCTGCTAACCGCATGTAGTCTTGTTTTCAGGGGGATCATCGTGATAGTTGCATACCTACTGGTGCCTACTATCCTGAAAAAAAGGGTATTTAAAACAAAATCCCCAACTCTGTCCATCCACAGAGACAACTGTGCTTTCCATCATTACAGTCACCCTTTGCATCTCCATTGCCACCAGGCTTATGAGCATGACATCTGGAGATCAGCTACTTCTGTTTCACAAGGGACTTTGTCATATGCTGGGATGTTCCTACACAGCTAATATAGGATTGCTATGTTTAGTCCAAACAGGAAACTCAATACACAGCTCTTTACATTCTCTTCATGCACAGAGGATATGGAGCTGACCAAAATTTCCCCAAGCCAAACTGCAACCAGACATAGAAACAAAACCAAAAGCCCCTTTTGCTTTTCTGAAGTCTTCAAATTTTGCAATGATACTATAAGAAGAGCTTAGCTATCATCAAACCTTCTCTGAACTTTTCCCTTTGCTGGTCTTATCCTCTCTGTTTTGTAACCCTTTGCCTATTCTAAGGAGGAAAAAAAAAGGGGGGGGGGGGGGGAGGAATAACCCAAGTATCTAAACTTTGGATTTCGCCAATCCCCCAGTTTTCCAAGAAAAAGCTGAAAAGAGGTAGGTTAGAAATGTGCCAGTAATCACGAGTGGATCCCAGGTAAGCCTCTGCAGGATAATTCAACATGCTGCAAGAGAAGGCCATAGAAAGAGATCCACACAGCAACACAAAATCAAAAAAATCAACAAGTGCAGCGTAAAACTTGTAGAATGCCTAATGCAGGTCAAGATGACCTTACCACACAGTGATAAAATGGCACTTTACTGTAGCACAGCTAAATGGATGCCTATGCACAAGAGTTTGCATTCACAAGATCCACAGCATTAGCATGAAGCAGAACAGCCAATATTGATTACACTTGGGAGACTATGTGAATCTGGCCATAGAAGATGGTTTCAGAAGTAATTGTGCTTCAATCCACTGTGTCCTGCAGTGAGGATGACCACCCAGTGAGGATGACAAACCAGTGACTCCCACGTAAGGTTTATGTTTTGCATCTGCTGGGCTTCCCATCAGGCTGTGTCCACAACTCAGCCCCAACTGCACAGGGATGGAGGACAGAAAATCACAAGTGGGGAGAGCGATTCTCACAGTGGGAAGCAGAGGAAGGCAGGTATGGCTACATGGTTTAGCCCTTTTGCCCCAAGAGCGAAGGGCAGAGGCATACAGCAGGCACGGCAAGTCCCGCAGAGACAGACCCTGGCATGAGAGCATCACAGAGGAGAGAACAGATGCCTGGAGACAACAGATTTCCACCAGTCGCTCTGCATTGGGAGCCATTGCAGTGTGTCCCAGCCTGAACGTGCTATGCTGAGCAAGGGAAGAGGAACACTGCTGGGCATGGAGTTTGGTTGTTTTTCAGTGTCAAACAGCCTCAGGCAGTTGCTAAGAGCCCACATGGCCACTTACAGAACACCTCTTGCTCCACAGCCTGCTCAGAGGTCCTGCAGCTCAGGAAGGGGGAGGAGGAAGAAAAACTGTACCTGTGCTGAAGGAACTAGAAAGGTGATAAGGTGGTGTTGAGCAAGCGACACAGGGGTGAGCCAGAAGGGTTTGGAAGCAAAAAGGCAGCAACGAAGGGATCTGGCAGCAGGGAAAAAGGATGAACATAGTTCGGGGGGTTGAGAGGAGCTGGGGAGCAGGGACCTCACAGCACACAAAACAGCCAGCTAAAAACCTAAGATGATAAAAGAGCCAAGATCCTTCAGCTATCACAGTCAAAAACCCTTCCTTGTGAATGAGCCCACAGGGCAACATTGTTGTGCCATGGCTGTTTGGAGTACTGGGTGGATCCTAGAGGACATCCTGTGACAGTCGCTGGCCTTTCAAGAAAGGATGCTGGAAAAAGACCAGAGCCAAGGGCACTTTCCTTTGAGCTCCTTGCAGAAGCTGAAGTAGGGCAAACAAGTCCTGTTTGCTGACAACCTAGCAAAACCTGTTTGCTATAAAGAATTTAAGTTCAGTAGGATCCCACCCAGTGCATTGAAACAGACTTCAGGAAAAAGAAGAGGACTGATCAAAAAGGAGACCTTAAAATAGGTTTCTGAAAGCCACAGGCAGAGAAGCAAGTTGAGGATACAACTCCTGCAGTCTCCTCCTCCTTTACATCTAAAAACATAGCTTTGGGCAGGCTTGGGTTTGTACTGCTGCCCACCTCAAAGTGGCATTCGAGAGATCTTCTCTTCTAAATCGACACCACAAAAGCAAAAAAAACCCAAAACAACATGCTGCACTCAAAAGTCCGCTCCTGGGGGGGGGGAGAAGGAACACAGCCCTCAGAAGAATTCAGAAACAAAAGGTGTTTTGTAGCAGACAGAGCTATTTATAGGCTTGGCTATGAAATAAAGCTTCTTTTTTATAGTAGGAAAAAAGAGAATGAGCTTGTTTTCACCCCTGACAACTTCCTCTCCTCTGACTGTGCCAGATGCTGCCTGGTTGGATCCAACCAGTTATCACCTCCCTCTACACCGTTCCTCCTTATTGCCGCAGCCCTCTACTATCATCCACTCAAGATAACACCAGGATATCTATTAACATAAACACCATATGAGCATGAGATCCAAAGACTGTTTGAAGAGGGCAGAAACAGCAACCCAGCTCTGCCTCCCCCCTTGCTGAACATCAGAGGACAGTCCTTTCTGCTCTGTTGGTCTACCCAGCACAGCAGATGTTCATGTCCTCCCCACTCAACCCTATTAAGGAGTGGTTCCAAGAGGTTACTGAAATCATTAAAAAGTTTTTCCCCTGATTAATTCAGTAAATCTGGGAATTAGACCCCAGAAGCATCTGAATTTCAGGAGTACATCAGCTGCTATGCTCAGACAGAATGACCTCTAGCTATCTACTTCTCCTTGCAACATAAGAGAGCATAAGAAAAACAGGCAATTACAGACTGTTCCTTTGAACTAGCAAAGGCAAATACATCTTCACCCTAACAGCAGTAGCTAAGGGACTTCCTCTGCAGATTAAACTAACACAGGTATCCAGCTTCCTAGCAGCATCAGAAATTCAGAGACCAAAACAAACCCCTGCTGTATACCCACTCCCTTCCAGCTCAAAGTCAGGCGTTTGCCCAGTAGCAAGGCTCCAGGTGTTACCATACAGTACCTTCCAACTTGCCCAAAGTGTAGCTGGCAGAAATAACCCCAACAGCCTGCCAGAACACCACCAGGAGTTTGTTACACAGCACAAGGTCATACTCCACCTACCTGGTTAATGAGTTCTCCAGGCATGCTATTGCTCTGCAGCATCATCTATCAACACCTTCTTGTACTGGCCATGGCCTGTTGCAACAAATTTATACTTTTTGCCAGAAGGAGTAGACTGAACAGAAGAGAAAGAAAGAGCCAAAGTCAGCATTTTTCTCCCTCAAACAAGCAGTCAAGGTCAAATAACTGAAGCCAGAGGACTATGCAATATGGTTGTCTGTAATCCCAGAGGGCTTGGAGTCAGCCTACTTTGTACTCCCTTCTTGCCCCTTCCACGTAAACTCTTTGCACAGACTGACCACCGCTTTCTGTAAGCATAAAGTAACACAGCGAGCACAGGATGTGTAATAGGAAAGGGAAGATGCAACACCAGGCCTCATCTAAGAGCCCAGACCTCCCAAGCCAGGATTGGTTTCACCCATAGCAAGAGCCAGTTTCATTTACCACATACTCGCAGCAGTACCGACTGAGGAACAGACAAGATACTTTGATCTTCCTCTCCCAGCCTAGACAGTTCGAGCAACAGCCGCTTGCTGCATTTTAATAGGCATTCCCACAAATGTACCGGTAGGCACAAAACCCCAGATCCACGTGCAAGTGTTGGTACTGTCTTAGGTTCAGTTCCACTTAATTTTGCACATTTTATTTATTCTCAAGATTAAAAAGCATAACAAGACCAAAGTAACTCACATGTGCAGTTGAATTTGAGCCTAGAAGGCTGGGGCTCCCAACTCATGGGCTGAGAACAACATGCTAGTCATGAGACCCTTCAGTATTACTGGTTACAAAACACTTTCTGCCCCCATTTTTACTAGGGCTGAAGCAATAGCAGCTCACTGTTAGGAAGAGCTCTTAGGTATGTCATTGCATTGATAGATACAGGCAGCCCTTGTCCCAACAGAACATCACCATCTTCTCAATACTTCCAATCCAGTCAAGAGCTCTTTTTTCACAGCAGAGCAAGTGCTTTCATACTCAAACAGATACTAACTCACCTTGATATTGGTCTCGGGTTTGGGATTGCCCTTCTGTTCCCAAAGGCTTCTTTTACTCACAATGTCTCCAGCCACGATATCCTGAGGAGATGATGTTCTCATTACCCTTTACTGCTAACGCTGCTGAACATGCCTTTGTTCACGTCCCTTTCAAACCCACACATCTGATGTCCTTTTTTATTTATAATATCACATCATCTGAGCTATGACAGCTGCAGCTAAACCCCATGACTGTGAAAACTTCTTCCTATTCCCAGTATATCCTAATGTTTTCCTCTCACTCTCTTCAACAAGAACCTGCATCAGACATCCAAGATGTTTATTTTCTTAAGTTTGTCAACTATTCAAGACATGTTAACATCAAGGCTTTTCTTGTGTGGAAGGAATTTTGCTCACATAAACACAGGTTTGCAACCAATGTGTTACAGAATCAGCCTCGCTCTCAATTACCAGAAACTGAATTTATTAAGAGAGCAATACATAATACTCTGCATTTTCCAAGTACAAGTTTATCATCTTGCAACTTTGTGCTCAACAACTGGTGCTCAGTCCTAGCCCCTGCAGAAGACACACACATTCTCCCCACCAGCTGATTTTATTTCCATTTCAAAACAGAGCCTCAGCCAGCATCACAGCGGCTTTCCTAGCTGTGCCACCAAGAAACAATTTGGGGCCCTAGCACAGACAAAGGAAAGCTCTGAGGTGGTACACCCTGCATCCTGATGAAGGCGACTGGATCTCTAATATAGATGCCTTTAGAGCTGGTGGGCACCACCAATGAGCCATACCAACAGGTTAATGCAAACGTAGTGTGTGTTGTGCCCAGAGGCCAACCCCTCTGCCACTGCACAAGCAAGGCAAGTCCTGCAAATGCCATACCTTACAGGGCAGGGACTTCGCGGCAGACTGAGCTGCGACCTCTCCAGTCTCCCAGAGGCTTTTCGTGCTGGCTACCATCATGCTCGTGGTGGGAAGGTCAAGAGAGGGCTGCCGGACAGGTTTTGGAGCCTTTGTGGATGTCTGGAAAATAAATGGAGAAAGATCACCATCAGGGAGTGTGTGGTTTTTCCACCACTCCCCCCCCCCCCCCAAAATTGGGGCCCCCAGGGGGGGGGGG